TGATTCCCAGACAGATTTCAATTAAAAATTGAGTATGGTAATAAACAAAAACCTTAAAACTTTTCAGCTGCAGCTTTTGATACTATCCATAGGATTAGCCATAATGATATATCTCATCAATTCATGTCATGTAATTTTGTATTAATCTTTTATAATTGGCCCTTTTGTCTTGTACGTGAAACGTGTAAATTAATACTTTTGCTTTTCCCATTGTACAGTTGTCACTTTGTTAATACTGTTAGCTATACCGTGAGAGACAACGCGTTATTTGTAAATACGTTCTTTAGTACTTTGTTTAAACCCTCGTTCTTCTGCCATTATAGGAATTCTACACAATTACGCCCCCAAGAACCCGCCGCCCTGTGCAAATGCACGTGCTGCACAGTCGGTCGCACCGGCCCTGCTCAACAAAATTACTTAGTGATTGAAAATACATTTTTGGACAATTTGCTTGTAGCTAAATTATAACTTGCAGCAAAACCATAATATGCAAATCATAAACACCAAAAGGCATCGCAACTGTCCTATGACCTGTTACAATTTTAGTTCAGGAGTTTCTGTACACAACACCATGATCCAGAATTAGCAAAAATTTTAGTTCTCTAAACGTTTATGTTCACCATAATAGCGAGTATAGTTCACCCCGAGCAACCAACACTGCTCGACCTCATCGCTGTAGAGAGATGGAGTTCTAGAAACTTACTAAGCCTGGTGAAAATTCTTCCCAGGTTGCGGTTCAGAGAAGCTGTTGTCCAGCTTGTTCTCACACATAAAATCTGATTAGACTTCTGCCAAGTTGGTGTCGTGTAATGAGACAGCCTGGGAAAATCTACGCTGGTTACACGGTGGCTAAACAAGTCAGTTTCGTGGGTGGATTTCTAATGGTATGGGGATACGCATCTTCCGTTAGCGTAGTGATCTATAGGTCATTAGGAATGACGCTTTGAATGTCGTGTAGTGGTGTTAAAGGGAATCCCTGTCAGGTCTTTCCGCTGGTGCCATTAGAATGATTTAATTCTGATGGATGATAATACTCTTTCCCACCATACAAACATTACAGAACCCAAAGCACGACTTCATACAGAGTATGTAACGACAACGTAGAACATTCGGAGCAGATATACTTACTAATAAGGTGGATATAAATATTGTAAGATTTCTAATTTGGGTTATGTTTGAGGAATATTACTGCTTCGCTTTCTCAAACTAGGAAGCGTGAACATGTTTGGGGCAACTACATAACATTCCATGTTTACAGCTGAACGAGCCAAAATATTCCACTTTCACTAGTAATCACGAGCAACAATTTAGTTTCTTGTAAGTTATATACTAATAACTCATTCTTCAAAGTACTTGACCTGCCACTAAATGTACCCAATGACTCGTATAGTCATTGCATATTTAAAGAAAATAAGTATGTGCCAATTCTTTACCTTTCATCCGTCTTTTCGAGATATCTTTCGTGGCACACGTATTAACAAACTCATCAAGATATGTTTACCATAGCTACAGACGTCACTTCACACTAGTCCACTCGGGATATTTGAATTTTTTTTTTTTTTTTGTTCAGCAGAACATCTTTCTAGTTGTATATAAAATTTTAAATTATTACTTTTTAAACTGTTAATTTTTTATATTATCCTTTTCTATAGAAGAGCTGGAAAGAAGCCGAAAGTTGGATTTTTGACACGACAAGTTTGTTTTACCTAATGTTGAAACTAGATTACTTATTTTTGAAACAGTGTTACAGGTTTGAAAAATTACGATTTTTTTTCTTTTTTTTTGTATAGTTAGAATATATTTACCAAATTTTGTTCAATGGCTTATTTTTAAGTGAATAGCTTCTGTTCTATCATTGTTTTTAATTCTAATATTTATTATTTATACTATAGAACTTCTGTTGCTTAACACATCTCATTACTATAGGCATAATAATTTATTACTGTTGCTGAAATCGATAAAAAAATAACTTTTCAAAAGTTGGAGCTTCAAATATGGTTTATCAGCACATTTGTTTGTGATAGTACGTCCATCTATAATGACGGGTTTGTTTGTTACGTTTATAGCAAAATACTAAAGCTATCTGCTGCCGTCCCTAATTTTGAACTACCGATCAGAGGGAAGGCAGCACCCACTGCCAACTCTTCGGCTACGTTCTCATCAACGAACTGCTGGATTGACCGTCACAATAAAACACTCCCACGGCTGAAAGGACGAACATATTCGGCGCCAGGTTTCGATCCCGTGCTTCTCAAATTGTGAGTCGAATACCCAAACTATCAGGCCATATAATGAGGGAAGATAGCATAATGGTCAAAACAATTTTAATCGAAATTCTACCGAACTGTTTAGATAAAATAAACTACTGAAAAATGTACACTACGTGAAAGTAATGAAGTTTCTAATACTGTTATCAGGGTACGAGTTATTAAAACATATAGAAATATTGCTGTGAATAACTGTTATTTCATTTCTTTACGGGAAATTCCTTCCAGTCAAATTTGCTGTTAGCTTTCTGTAACTAATATCTTTGTCGCTGGTGACGAACCAACGATTTATTTAATTTATTTTTTATGATTAGATGGGGACGAGAGTATAATACTTTACTAATCCCCAAAACAATACAGTTAAAGCGTATTGTTTTGCACATTATAACAGGGTAAAGCTAATATGATGTGTTGTCATTGAATCTATTGACATATAACGTTTAATATGCAAACTGTATTCAGGCAAAAGAAATGGTACTTTTATAAATTCTCCTCGTAAGCGTGGTATATCTTCAAATCTTGAAGAAAACCTAGGGTTCAACTTGTTAATTCTGCTGATTCAGATAGAAAAATAAAATTACTATAAGTGATCAACCTCGTAACTATGACGACCGAAAACAAAGGGGTTAGTGCCAATGATAGCACTAGCCGTTCCTGTACCTAATTAAATATTCAAACTGCTCTATTCACATAAATCAAAGTACATTAACATGTGACTGTCGTTGATTCGCAGAATGTTTGCTGTGTGTTTATTTAATCATCTTTCTTTCTTCACTGCAATAATAAATAACCAGACTATGACTTTTTTTCACAAATCAGTTAAAATAAATACGTTAAAACACCATAAAATATATCTTTTTGATACGCATTCAAGTATACATGTTTTACATTAAAAATCTCAAACACCTATTTGTAAACAAAAAATATCAATCCGTCAGTAATGAACAAGTTGTACATGTATTTAATTCTTCCTCTTATGTGGTTTTTTTCGTTCACAAAACTTCGTGTAGTCCACGTAATAGATATGGTGTAAATAAATTATTCTTAAAAAGGTGGTAACACCATATCTATTACGTGGACTACACGAAGTTTTGTGAACGAAAAAAACCACAATGAACGAAAATACATTTACTTTCAAACTTCGGTAACTAACATTATTAGGATTTTAAATAATCCCCCCACATAGTATCAACACAATGCTACCCTAGTTGTATACGTATTGTGTGTGCGAGGTTTTATACGTATGTAAAAATACGGCAAAATGATGTTCGTTTACTACCCCATTGGTTTCCCACATTAAGTAACCTAAGCATTTATTGGTCAAACAGTAATAACTTTAGAAAAAAAGGATATGAAAAACGATCCGCCTGAAACTTCAATTCTTGGACTGTATTTTAGTAAACGAGTTGTATTAAAAAAATTATCTAGACAAAGTTCCAACAGCTACATAAAAGGATTTCCTGAACACACAAAAAATATATGTATTACTAACCCCTTTTGTATTACAGTCACTACACCTGATCAATCAAGTAATCCTAAAGAATGAGTTAAAAATGAAGGTTATGATATTTAAGGCTTCTGAGCCAACAAGATTTGTTCTGCCACTGTTACGAACCCAGAAATGCAGCATTTTTATGGTTTCAGGACTAAGAAAACCAACGTGCATTTGCAGATGAAAAAGTATTTATTAAGCTTCTTTTAATGTCTTTATAATTAACGTTGACGTTTAACGAAAAGTAGGGCAAACCCTTTAAAACTGTTCATGTACAACTGTAGCCCTCGCGTATTCCATAAAAAAAACATCTAACTTGTGGCCATATAAATTATGTAAACGTCACACATTTACGTATATACTAAAACAATCATATAATTCAAATCAATATTTGTTTCATAAAGTTGATCATAAGATGCTAACACATGACATAATTATGCTGTAAAGCAATTTATTGCTTCAAACCGTTTGAGTGTCTCATTCACCATATTTGAAGATATACTTTTACGTTGTTTAATATCTCTAAAACTAAGTGACCAATTTCTGATGGATTGGAATATTTCTGACGAAAGAATATAGAAACTTATATAAATTTGTTTTTGTTTTTTCATCACCAACTATAATATGCATTTCACTATAGATCTCGATTACAAAATACATGATTTATTCTCAAAAATTTATGTTTGTTAAAATACAATTGAAATATTTAAGTCTTTACTTCTAGTAGTTTTAAGGCAACACTTAAATATGCTTATGTTGTGGAGATAAAAGTTTTGATATCCCCCCCCCCTCCCGCCAGAATAAAACTTTTATACTGTTCTAATTTCACATGTGTCTAATACATTTGTATAACGCTTACTCATCGTTATAATTTTTTTAGTTTCATGTCCCCAGAGGAAGGTGTGAAACAGTGCTATTGGATATATCTATATGCATACCTGGACACCACGTGACTTTGAAGCTTGAACGTGGTTTTAAAAATTTTAAATTGGATTTCAGTTTTGTGTGACGGCCATTCACAAACCATTCAAGTATTATCAACTCTTTTCATAAAAAACATTAAATATCAAATGCGAGTCCGTCTTCTTTACGAGATGATTCTTTCTCGCAAAGCTCTTTGAAACAATCCTTAAAGAGCAGGTGAGCTAGACGCGAATCATCATAACACTTTGATATCACTTAAAACATGGTATTTAGTAACCTGACTGGAATAGTTGATTAAATCGAATCCCTACACTTACCACTATCATCAGCAAGCTTGCGCAAGACGGCCACGACACGATGAACCTCGTCTTCATTGTCAGCAACAATACGTAACGTTTCGAGGATGCTACGGGCCACCAGTTGTCTAAAAGTAAAAAAAAAAGAAATAATATATATTAATACTTGTACTTTTCGTATTTCTGTTGTAATACATTGAAGTCAGTAGTTTAGATTGCTTTTCTATATTACCCTATTTTTGTGTTGATATTTCACTTATCATAGTCATTTCACAGTCCGCTGTGTTATCATAGAGTTGATAGACTCTATATGTAGGGATGGCCAAGGTATTCAATAAGCATAATACAAATATGCACGCTAAAAATTAAGAATGACAGAGAGTTTGACTTTAAAAGATGATTGCCACTCTTTTTTTCACTTATTTCTCTACCCAACAAGCCCAAAAACAAGGAAAGAAACCATCGCTAAGATACCAAACCAGAAAGTGACCAACCCACCAAATTGTTCATCTTTTCCCTTCTTCTTTCAGTCGAGATAACTCTACAACAACTTTATCACTAACGTCAATTTAAACCTAAATTCACTCTATGTGTTTCTGGACAGTGCATGATGTCATTGCTTAGTCGTAATAACTAGTAGTAATTCAAAAAAATCATAATTCTAGTGTAAATAATGTTATCATTACCACTTGAAGTTAGCTTTTTTTACAGAAATTTGGTGTTCCTTTAAGAACAGGAATTACTAGCCAATAATAGATGAGCATTAGATGACTGTAACATGTAGAATACTCAATTCTTTTTACACTATACAATCGGCGTCCTTGGGGAGTCAACCCCTATATTATGTATGAAGTGAAGGAGTAAAAAAAATCAAGACACATAATATTTAATTTTAGTATACACGTTCATAGAATACACTAACTTTCATTCAGGGGGAAAAAAACGTCACAAAACAAGTAATAAAAACATTTTGTAAATATAAAATGATGTAGAGAGGGAAGTGCTAAAAAGAATGCAAGCAAGAATATAGGGATAATAGAGACCTATATAGACCATCCCTTCATGACTTTCAATATTAAAATTTAATGTTACACTGTAAAATGCACACTTGACTTTAATATTACTGCAGTTGGAAGTTATATATTCCTGATTGTTTGGTATGCAGTTTGTTTATCAGAATATCATGGTCATGTTAGGGTAGGCATCAATGTAGTGTGACTAAGAGCCTTAGGACAAGTAAACCCAAGTTGAGTTAAAACATGTCTTGATTATTACAGACTGTTACAGACTTTCGCTGCGGAGTCGGTCTAATTGACCGACCTGATAACCATTTTGTAACCGTGTATTTTACAGTGTAACACTAAATTTTAATATTGAAAGTCATGTAGGGATGATCTATGTATAGCTGTATCTTCCATATATATATTATTGTTTGCATTCTTTTGGGCACTGCCATCCCGGCATCATTTTACATTTACAAAATGTTGTTTTTTTATTACTTGTTACTTTAGCATTGGAGTAACAGTAGTTTCATTCTTTATTATATGTTATAATATTTCAGATGTATTCACGTGTTGAAACATGCGAAGTCGTCTATTAATGTTCTTTCTTCTTCAGGGGCAAACTAGGAACCAATCGTGGAAATACCAATCGTTGTGTTAATAAATATTTAATTTTTCACATACACATTGATATAGCAGCTTCTATTCTAATACTAGATTAACAAGAGAGAAAATTACTACAATAAAAATTACTGTCAGCTGCAACGTGTAGGAGTGTACTTCTACGACATCCTAATTGGTTTCTAAAAATGCATTAACTTCAAATTCGTTATCTCTGTCATTCAGAAAAACAAAACAAAAATCATATCCACTTATTAGGCACTAACAGGATCAAATAAAGTTAATTTAAAATCATAAAGCCGTAACAGATTAATCAAAAGAGAGTGAAAAACTGTACCTTTATGGTCCTAGTCTAAAGAAGTTGGCACAACAGTGTTGCTTATTAACTAAGAAATATCACTAAAATTTAAACCAGATATGTCAACCGCACGTCAACTGAACTAAACATCATTTCAAAATTTATATAAGGGAGATGAGTAGTTTCATTTATGTAGCATGAAAGTTTATGACGTTATGTTTATACAAAGTTGCTTTAAACTTCAAGGTCATCCCATCCTTTTACTTAACAGGCTATTTTTTGTTCTTTCTATAGATCTCTTTCGGTCAATGCCGACCAATTGATATCGTTAAAACACGTCGAATCTTAGACATGGCCATGACTCTGAGTAATAGTTCTCATAACTTGGTTATGTATATAATTAACTACAATGTTATTTTCCCAAACACACTTATTTCTTGAGAAAACTGTGGTGTAAGACTGTGTGACTTTGATAAACGGGATATAGCATGTGAGCTGGATTTATCATTATAGGTTTCTGTAGGGGTATTCATCTACAGATAGGTCTTGGCTTATAAAAATGATATTTTATGATAGGTTGAAAAGTATCAACAAAAAGATGAAACAGTTGTGAAACGTGATACTAGATCAAAAGTTCACCGTACAGTGGAAATATTAACATCCATTTCCTAAGCAATGTTATAAGCATGCTATTCGATACATGAGTTTATTAACGGTTTTTAAGGAGGAGAAATCGTACTGAATCTTGAAACATATTCTATAAATTTATGTTTCCAACTTTCCTAACTCTGATAACCACGAAACCTTCATGGGTTATTGGGTATGCCTCAGAGAAATTCAAAAACCACTTAAACTATTCACTTTCCAACGTTTACGAGTTTTACGTTATTTAATTTTTCCCTTTGTCAGTGAGAGCTAATGACGCACACGCAGTGGGTACCCACGCCATGCGCAGCATTTATTTCCATTGTTAATAATGAATTTATTAACGATGATAACAATGAATTTAAACTGTTGCTTCACTTTCGAAATTAAAGTAATAATAATTTGTAAAAATATTTATCTAAAAACAAGCAAATTGCGATTAACTGTTTACCCACAGTTTTGCGAGATTGAATGTGCTACAGAAAAGCAACCCATCATAAAGAACCTATTTGCAAGATACAGCAAGTGAAAATCGGTATTTCAAGTGAATTGGACCAAGAAAAAGTGCTGATTCCATCGTATACGTGTGTGTGTGTGTGTGTGTGTGTGTGTGTATGTATATATATATATACATACACATACACACACACACACACACATACATTTATCTTTCATGGCCAGGTGGATATAGCGCTCGACTCGCAATCTGAGGGTCGCGGGTTCGAATCCCCGTCACACCAAACATGCTCGCCCTTCCAGCTGTGGGGGTGTTATAATGTTACGGTCAATCCCACTATTCGTTGGTAAAATAGTAGGCCAAGAGTTGGCGGTGGGTGGTGATGACTAGCTGCCTTCCCTCTAGTCTTACACTGCTAAATTAGAGACGGCTAGCGCAGATAGCCCTCGTGTAGCTTTTCGCGAAATTCAAAACTAACAATCTTTCTGTATATAATACTACTCTTTATATTAACGTTTTCATCTCTTATAACTAATCAGCTAGCGGAGTACTGATGTGAAGTAAAGTAGAAAGTATAATATTGGTTTGAACTATGTCATCTCTCACAGTCTCATTCAACTCTGGCACTCTGTCCGTTTCTGTCAGAATGGGTTTCAGTGACAAAAACTACACACCTGAAAGTAATTTCTATTACACAGAAATAACAAAACTACTGGTCTCTAGAAAACATGCAGTAGAAATATTGTCGTTAAGTTTTTATAATTCATTATATAACCGATTTTTCATCTCTGTTACGTGCGATGCTAATACAAATGGAGTTCTGTCTGTCTCTGTACACAGGGTAATTTACAAAATCTATCAGACGTTATACTGAGTATCGATTTGACCTCGAATTTAAAATACTTCTATGTAAATATTAATAATTCAAATATAAAACAATAACGTAAACATTCTGAAACCCTAAACGGTTATGATGTCCACTGTGTGTTCAAATTTCTTTTAAAGTTTCTATTAATGTTCCAATGATGAAAACAGCCTACGTAAAAACAAATCTCTAAATTAATTAACTTGAACCTAATCTTAAATAGAATGCGCATGTTATTCATAATACGATAAGAAATAAGAGCAAGTAAAAAAAGACTGTTTGGTTCTTATTAAGCACAAAGATACACAACGGGATATCTGTGCTCTGCTCACCACGGGTATCGAAACCAGGTTTCTAGCAGTATAAGTCCGAAGACATACCGCTGTGCCACTGGGGGATGATAAAAGAAAAAAGATCAACAAACAAATAAACGTATCAAATGTGAGTTTCAATTTGAAGATACGTAAAACAGATATCTGAGCAACAACTGGGTAAAAACCTCACATACGACTGAAGAGGATGCTTGATAATAATATACAGGAAACAGCATGATTCAATAACATCTACCTCTGTATGATACGAGTGTTTCCACGTGTAACACAGGCCTGCGAATTTAAACTTCATAAAGGCTGTTTTGGTTTTAATAAAGGAGTTTCCATAATTCAGCTACGCAGATTTCGAAAATAATATTATTTTTTTTCTATCGCGTAAGGATTTTTTTACAAATCGGGAAGGAAAAAAACTCTTACTTAGATTAATTATTATTTCAAATACCACAATGGATATTTTTTATTATTATGTTTGTTAAAAATACAAACAAACTGAAGAAAAGGGAAGAACATTGATGTCAAATGAATATGCATCCTCATTCATCCTGTGTTTTTGTGTGAAATCACGTCTTTAGTCCCAAAACTACGTGTTGTGGTCTTTCATTTATGTATTGCGTTATGACGTTTCGTGAAAAATCTGTACGTGATGGAGAAAAATGGATATCATTTTCGGATTCAGCATACAGGATTTACTGAAGAACATGTACAAATTGCAAGACAATAAAAGCATCGCAGGCT